CCACCATTATGGTTACCGCCCAAAAAAAAAATGGAGGCAATAAACGGTAGCCTGGTTGCCGAGTTCACGAAGTGAATTGGCTTGTTTTACAACGTCGTTGCCAAGCGACGAAAACCCAATCCCGATGGCGAACACCGAGGGGGGGAAGGAGGGGGAGTGTACTCATAGTCGTGCATGCCATAGTCGTTAGACCATTGACCTCGCATCCCTACAAAGCCGGGACGGACCACGCCGGGTTCTCACTGGACCAGGCTCTCACATCACCCAGCGCGAAGCGCTGGGAAGGAGGGGGGGTCTACATATGGTTGTGAAGCAGGTGAGGCAAATGACGACAGAAAATGGTATGCCCGGAATTGGGGAGACACAAAACAATGATACGGAAGGAAAAGACTCGGGAACCGACCCCGAGTCCGCGCGCAGCTTGGCCAAGACCACCGAGCACCGTTTTCTGGCGGCTCAGACGGAGACCACCGCGACCAGGCTTGTCTGATCGGTTTGCACCGTTTTTCTGTCGCCTTTTTGTACTGCCGCAAAACAGAATTCCCGAAAAAAGACCATTCGGCTTGATGCGGTTGCTGTCGGAAGTGCCAACTCGCTCACCATGCGCGGAATATACAACCTCGGACTCGAATACCATGGACCATTTCAGCAGATCCACCGAACCACGGCGAAGATCCGAACGCCAATAACATGAATACTTAGGCTAGAATAGACTTCAGGCAAACATTCGGTGGTAGAGAACACCACCAGAGTGGGATAAACACTTCGTCCTCCAAGGTGTACAGGCCTAAACTTCTTCAGCCCACTTACAGTATCGTTACATTACAGAAAACACACGAACTTATTTATGTACGAACTCGTTAATTCGTTTGGCAGAGGGTTTGTTCTTATTTCTGATCGTGTCTTATTACCCCAACAGCGTTTATACAGGTGTTCGTGTGGGCTTCTTTACTGAACACCTGGTCTACGATATAATTCATTTTTTTCTTTTTGTTGAGCCTGGGTTTCTGAACTGCAGGCGCTAACTGCATTCATTCGATGTGGTGTTTCAAAATAGACTAGACTAATGTAGTCCCTGTCTCTGTGCGAGTTTGTTTGTGTCCTCGTCTTTGCTTTATTCTGTTTTATTTTGTCTTTTGTTTTGTTTTTTACTGGCACGTACCCCCGCCCCTTCCTTTGGCCGTCGACCTGCCTCCATGTAGTGGGAGGCTACCCCCCCAGGCTGGTGGTGCGGCCGTTCCACTAGTCTAATTATTTATTTTATTTTATTTTATTTGTTTCTGATTATATTTTGTTTTCTTGTATTTTATCGCTCTGCTGACCCTTGGGGTCCATTTTATTTTGGTATACCTTTTCTAGGTACGTTAGCCTGTGACCACGGAAATTGGCCGAGTCAAGTGATGGATTAGTACGGAGAGATTGAGACAGAAGGAGGTACTGGATAGAGAGACCGGGATGGTTTTTAATGTGAAGACAACAACAACAACAATGTACTTGAGTAGGCTGCAGCACACGTACACGTACAGAGCGGGCCTAGACTACATTTTTTTTTTCTCCCATCATTGGACTCTGTCGTCTGCCCCTCTGGCCCCTATCCTCCACTTCTACCAGCTAGACGACCCAACCGGGGTCACATAGGAGGGGGGGTTGGATCCCCTCCTGCTTTTCTACATGTAGCAGGGTGGTTGTGTACATCGCTTCTCGACAGTACGTGTGTTGTACTGGATGGAGAAAACCACTGTGCCTTACAAAGTACCAGGAGAGTGTTTACATTGAACTGTGGAGGATAAAGACGATACACGTCAAAACTGACTTCATCTTTGGCGAAGACCCGCGGAGACAACAACACGCCACAATAGTCTACAGCAGCACACGTGAACCACATCTACACAAGTGCTTCCATGACCGCTGCAATATCAATTTAGATATACCGTCATTCATTCACTTACATGGGGGTGTAGCTCAAATGGTAGGGCGGTTCACTAGCATTGAACAGGTAGGGAGATCGATGCTCTTCACCTCCACTCGTTGCTATTTTTTTCTCTCTGAATTTTTGTGTGATGGCATCGCCCCCTCCGTTATTTTTTTTCGTTGTTGGAATACGATGCAGTTCAGCTTGCTATGGTCCGTTCGGGCAAATATTCACAATCTTGTTTTTCGCGATATCTTTCGAAAAAAACGATTTGGAAAGTGAAAAAACTTTGGGCGTGACCGCGGCGTCGAGCTTCGTCGATATCCGATGAGTTTTTGGTGATTGGGTGAAATGCGACATTTTTGACAAAAAATAACCCACGGAGCCCCCACCCCCCCAGCCCCTCATGACCCCACGGAGCCCCCAAAGTACACCACGACCCCCCCTCAACCCCTCCCTTCTACACGT